AGGTAACTAACCAATAGTCCCCTAATACAGCTTGGCGGTGTGTTCCCTTGTAAGTACTGATTAACAGCCCATTAGTTCGTGATTAGTTCTTCTTTGTTTACAAGGTAACTAACCAATAGTCCCTAATAAGGCTGGGCTGTGTGTTACTCAGTAAGTACTGGTTAACTACCGATTAACTCATGATTTGTTCCTGATTCGTTCCTGAGGCGTTCCCTAGTAGTTAATCAAGTTTTGTGTACCTTATTGTAAAGTGTTACCCAGGGAACTCTTTCAGCTTTAAAAACTTAGACACCTGAGACCTCTCAAATTTTGGACAGAGAAGACAGATATGTTGAGAGGGTGAAGGAAGACGTTTATATCAAACAAGAAACTTCAACTTTCAATTGAGGTCGTCTCAGCTTCCAGCTTTTTAAACTCTGCAGCATTCTGCATGATACCATCACTTCCCCTCTAATTCACACTTTCATGCTCGTGTCCAAAACATTCTTTTATGAGCCGTGAAAACAAAGACCTTCATGACCTTTGGAAGGGAGCAACGATTAATCTGCCTGTTTATTTAGCTGCATGAATGGAGCATCTCGTGCAGTTCAAAGTGCACAAACCCACACTCTCCAGTTTTGAAGTTAAAAAGCTCCAAGGATGGGAAGTGAAATGTCTTTAAATATAAAATAAAGTCCAGTTGCTTTGATTTTAAACCTTTAGGATTTCACCATTTATACCAGGGCTAATCAACTGGTGGCCCGGGGGCCAAATCAGGCCTGTGGGTGAGCTCAGTTCGGTCCACCAATGGGTTCATTTTTAAATAAAACTAGATTTTAAACTGTAAAACAAACTTACTTAATGACCATAACTGCTGGATGTCCAGCCCCTGAGCAGTTAATTTGAATATTCTTGCTCTATACAATAAAATTTACATAAGTTAAGGAGGTTAAGCATATCAAAGGAGAAGCACGAACAAATATGCAAGTGGGCTGTAAATCAGGATAAAATGTTCTGTTAGCTAAAATGTGTTATTATAATAGAGTTATAGAAAAAGTTTTGAAACCTTAAAGTTACATTTAAAAAAATACTAATGAAAGTCACAGGCGTTCAATCTTTTTTTATACTATCCGCAAGACAGCACATCTTGGTTTGGATCAAGGAACTTATAGGCTCTACTGCATTAATGTTGGCATTTTCTTTTCTTTTACTTAATGTGATTTAAACCTTAACGCATTGTAATTCAGAAGTATAATATAAACCAGTGGTGATTTTAGCTTCTTTTGGGGGGGTGCTCAAGCACCCCTAAATTTTAAATCAGCACCCCTAAAAAATAAAGAAACCATCATGAGGATTTTGTAAAGAAACTCAGTTCTCAAACCTTCAATTCACTAAAATATTGAATAAATATGGAATAAATGATGACACTCAAACGGGCCAGTAAAAGCTAAGATTTTGTTTTGCACGAGTCTAATTCTCAATGCCACCTGTCAATCAATCCAGTAGGCTCGTCAGTGTCTGACCAGTCAGTGATCTCAAGTTGTTCCGAAGTGAAACGTCCCTTACCTGCAGGAGCTCCACCCACTTTTCCTCTGACAACATCTTAGCTAGCACTACGTTAGTGTCAGTTGTGTGTGTGTTTGTGTGTGTGTGTGTGTGTGGGGGGGGGTGATGCATAAGAGAAGTGGAGCATGCTCACACAAGGGGAGCTGTTGGTCAGGCTTCTTCTTCTTGTTACTGTAGCTGTTTAACAAATCGTTAAAATGCACCAGAATTCAGAAAACACAGACCCCCTCCCCCCACCCCACCAGTACCACCACCCCACCACCACATTAAAAACGATTCTTACGCCATTGGAAATTGTGTTGCTCAAGCCAAGAGCCATTGTCAGCTAAGCACCCCTCAAGGTCAGATCTTAGAATCACCCCTGATTTAAAGTAAACCCTAGCAAAGGAATGCATCGCCCGCTGCCTTTCATGCCTGAGTTTTGAACTAAAATCATCTCATGCTGAAAAGGAACAGAGTTTTAGCTGTTTTGGGTCAAACTTTGTTCGGTCTATTCTTATTATAGAGTGATAAATAAACTAAATACAAATCCACTGGACTTCTTTCTGCGGTTAAAGATGTTTCGCTTCCCATCCCAGAGGCTTCATCACTTCAACAAAATGTCAGCAGTTCTAAGGTTCAGAGTCATGTTTTGTGTTTGATGAGGATGCTTGACTAGGGAAGCCATCTTGAATGAGGCTGACTCTAAAAGTTGTGTATGAGTGTGTCTTCTTGATGTTTATTATTAGGAAAATAATAAATCCTAGTTTTAAATATGTTGGGGTTTTTTCCCCACGGGTGTATTTGTAAATTTTTTTAAACTTCATTAGTTTTTTTTTAGATAGTTTTTCTTAATTCTTCTAAATTTAATTTCTCTTAAATGAAGGCGAAAACGATGCCAGACATCTGTGCGAGCGCCTCGGATGTGGAGAGTTCGAGAAGATGCTGACAGCAGAATGGATGACCGAGCTGGATTTTCAACATTCAAGAAAGATGATGCTCAACTGTTCAGGCATCGCTGAGGTCACTCACCTGTGGCAGTGTGTTCGTCCACCTGTGTCCGTAGCGTGCCAGCGCCCTGCCTCTGTCTCGTGTGAAGGTAACAAACCTACAGGCACATATGAGCGTCACACGTGATGTTGAATGGTCGGTTCGTTTAAACAGGTCACAGGAAACTGCAGCTCAAAGGAAACTCGTCAAATGTTTGCTCTGGACAACTGGAGCAGTTCAAAAACGGCCAGTGGGAAACTCTGAAAGAAAACACTCATCCTGATAAGTGGTGCAAGCAAATGCACTGTGGCGACCCCCACGACCTCCGTCAGACTAAAGAAAACTTGACATGCTCAGGTAAACTGAACACGGTTCTGTTTTACAGATCAGCTGTTACTGATAAAACAAAATGTTTCGTCTTGTTTTTTTTGTTTTTTTTACACCTCGCAGACAACGTCAGAGTCGTTCTGATGAACAACAACCAGGAAACCAAATGTTACGGAGAAGTCTACGTCAACGTGAACGGTACAAACACGGCAGTGTGTGGCTCCGGGTGGAGCGAGAAGGAAGCTGAAATAGTCTGCAAAGAATTAAACTGTGGCGCAGTGAGTCTACTTTACCCAATATTTTACTAACAAATACAATGAACAACACGGACAGGTGCTGTTTAGTCAGCTTCACAATACTGTTGTTGTTAAGGCGCGCACACACACCATCAGGACATTGGTGCCAGATGTTGTCTTACCAGAGCAAGTAAAATCAAAAGAGAAAACTCATTCCCACAATACACCATTAATCTGGTCTCCAGCTCTAATGTTAAAAATCTTGGTGTTGTTTTTGATCTAGACTGGACTATTGCACTGGTTTGTTATCTGGGTGTCCAAATACGTCTTTAAAAAGTCTTCAGTTGATCTAAAGTGCTGCTGCCAGAGTCTTAACTGGAGTTAATGGGAGAGATCGCATCTCTCCAGTTTTAGCTTCTCTCCACTGGCTCCCTTTCAAGTCCAGAACTGAATTCAAAATCTTACTTCTAACCTACAAAGCCCTCAACATCCTAGCTCCATTTAATTTTACAGATCTTATTGTTCCGTATTTTCCTAACGGAGCACTTTGCTCTCAGACTGCAGGTTTACTCGTGGTTCCTAGAGTTTCCAAAAGCCGAATGGGAGGAAGATCTTCCAGTTCTCAGGCTCCTCTCTTGTGGAACCAACTTCCAGTTTCTGTCCATGAGGCTGACACATTGTCCAGTTTTAAGACTGGGATTAAGACTTTCATTTTTGATAAATCCTATAGTTAGGGTTGGCTTGTTATGTACTCGGCTTAGACTCTTGGAGGACAAACTGACCCAATTTCTTTAAATTAATTGTTAAAATTGAATAGTTTTCATTTGATACTATTTCTATCTTAACATGTGATTCTTGACCTGCCATTGTGTATCTGTTCCTCTCAAACCCAGCCGGTCAAAGCAGATGGCTTCTTGTCCTGAGTCTGGTTCTGCTAAAGGATTCTTCCTCATGAGCGAGTTTTTTCTTTCCACTGTCGCCTTCATGCTCGCTCAAGATGAGAGTCTGTGATAGAGTTTAACTCAAAGCTCCTCAGATAAATAATATTAAATTATTATTTTATATAAATTAACGTTTCTGTTCGGTTCCCTGAGATGACTTCTGTTGTGATTTGGTGCTATATAAACTAAAATGAATTAAATTGAATTGAATTATTTATTTCTTATTATTATTGTGAGTATTCTCTAAAGGTACTCGTAAAAACTGTCATGAAGTAAGAAAGAAAACATTTCAGAATATTAACTCGTCCAGAAAAGTGTTGGAGTAAACTCTGTCAAACTGCACAGTTTGATACAGTTCAGGAGAAACAATTTAATATTTGAGTTCATATTTGACAATGAGGACATCGGACTTTGTTCTTTTAATAAAAAAATCGGTTTCAAAATTTCATTTTGGCACATTCTGGATATTTAGTTGTATAAAAATACTGGAACTTAAACGCCTAGCATTTCATGGATGGACGGATGGATGGATGAATGGATGGATGGATGGATGGATGGATGGATGGATGGATGAGAGATGGAGAGATTATCAATCCGATGGGGGGATTTGTAAAGGAATGCACAGCTTTCATGGCAGTAATGTCCATGAAGGAATATTTTCTTTGGCACATTTTGGTGATTTGACTTCTGATTGATTATGTTATTTTTATGGAATCACGTTTTCTAACCTCACTTTTCAAAAGGGAACCTCATGCAGAATTTGGTCTCCTTTTTATTTAACTGTGGAACAAAAAGAATATTCCTTCATTCTCCACAGCATCAAAACATTATTAGCAGTATTTCTGTGCGTTTTGTGATTCAAGCTAATTGACAAGTTGTGTTTGTGAATTGATGTTTAAAATCTCTCCTGCAGGTGCTCCCTAAGAAAACGAAACTTAATCCAGCGTTACAATCTGGGATTATGGATCATGTAAAGTGTGAACGTGGTGAGGCCTCCCTGTGGCACTGCAGGGCTAAACGTGGCCACAGAATAACCTGCTCCACCGTCCCGTACGTGGTCTGTGCAGGTGAGATATGGCACAGGGATCTTAATTATCTGTTTTGTACAGATTTAATGGTATTATATAGAAATGAAAGGAAAAAAAGGGCATTTTGACCGTTCAGAATGTTTGACTTTTTTTTTTTTTACTTTTCATCATGACGCAGGAAGTGTGGATGTGAAACTGGTGGACGGTCCTGGAAAATGCTCTGGGAGACTGGCAGTTCAAGACGAAGGCCAGTGGAAGCAAGTTAGCTCTGCTGGTTGGACAGACGAAGGTTCAGACATCGTCTGCAAACATTTTGAGTGTGGAGATAAAAGTAGAAGAAACAATAAGGACAAATTCATAAAGGGTACTGGTGATACCGTGACCATGACGTGCGAAAAAGACAGTTCTAAAATATCCGACTGTAAAATTAGCCCAAACCCGTCAAGCAAAACCCAAGATCCTGTGGGAATAACCTGTGAGGGTGAGTTTCTGACCCGTTTGGGTCGTCTTTAATTTTTCCTTCCATTCACATTCGCAGTAGAAATGTAAAAGTGAGGACGTGAATTAAATGTAAAATGATTTTAATTTGCAAAATATGCTGTAGAAGTTTACACAGAAGTCTGTAGCAACGTCAAACAATTTAAAAGGCCTTTTATTATAACAGAGCTTATTCCTACCTCTATGTTTCCATCAGTCAGAAAGAATAAAAGACTAAAACACAAAATGTGTGAATGCTGACGGACTCGACATTATCCTAAAGTGTAAAAAATCAAAAATAAGTAAAAAATTATCCAATGTTTTTTTACACGAATGATTATTCTGCAGGATTTACAACATTTTCTGGCACGTCACCTAAAATGAATGAATATTTAAACGTAGAAAAAAAAAGTTTGGAAATAAATATTTAAAAATGTATTTGTATGAATGCTGATTCAGCATTTATTTTAATTTATTTATTTATTCATATAATTTTTGGAGTTTACACATTTTGTACTAGTTTAGTATTTTATGTACTATCCATAGCTTTTACACTTTTCAAAATATTTTAATTTATTTACAAACATTTCCTACATTGAATTATAACTTTTTCACTTCTTTCAAAATTATTTTTATTTTTATTTTTATCTGCAGTGTTGTACTTTCTCTTTTTCCTTACCTTTGGCTTTTAACCAGCCTTTTGCTACTTTTAGATACAATTTGCCACTTTACCATTTAGTTACTTTTTAGCTATTTTTTAGCTTCTAGCTACTCTTTTTCTACTTTAACTTTTTAACTTGGATTTTGATACGTAATAATTTGCTATTTTTGTCTTTTAAGTAGCCTTTTGCTTAGAATTTTGTTATCGTATTTATCAAACTATAAGGCGCATTAAGCAAAACTTTATTCAACTCATTCACAATAACTCTCCACGTTGTTCAGCTGGACCACATAAAATCAGTTCGAGGTCATTAAGCACAGCCAGAATACATAAGGTGCACTATATTATAAGGCTCACTGTTGATTGTTTAGAAAAATTTAATTATTTTATGAGTTCCTTATAGTCTGAAAAATATGGTAGCCTATAAATACTTTTTTTATGCACCCTTTAGCCACTTTAGCTTTTAGCTAGCTCTTTGCTGCTTTGAGCTTATAGCAAATGTTTTGCTGCTCTCAACTAACTTTCTGCTACTTTTAGCTTTTAGCCTTTTTTTATTTTTACCTTTTGCCTCTAGCTACGTTTGTTATTTTTAACTTTTAAATAGCCTTTTGCAGCTTTTATTTTATAGCTAACTTTCTTTTTTTTTTTTTAACTTTTATAATTTAGGCAGCCTTTAACTACTTTTTTGCTTCTACATAAATTTAGCTATTTCTAGCTTTTAGTTCGTGCTCCATTATTTTTAGCTTTTTCACTGCGTTCTGTTATTGTTGGCTTGCATTTCCCAAATGTTTGGCTTCTTTCATCTTTAACAACCTGGTTTTAACCTCACACACACGTTTTCATACAAAAACACACATCTCTCGTTAAAGTTTGCCTTGTTGATGTCTGGGCTCTTGTAGCAGAATATTTTAGCAGAAGACGAGTTTTAGCTCTAGAAAGAACGATACATGATAATAATAAATACTCATGGAGTCCCTCCTTCGTTCCCCTCCTGTGCAGGACACAAAGTTATATTTCTGAACGGCCCTGGTTCGTGTTCTGGCAGAGTTGGGGTGGAACAAGGCGACAGAACCTTCTGGCTCTCTGGGTCCAATGAGACGTGGGACCGAGCTGCAGCCAACACGGTGTGCCAGCAGCTGCACTGCGGGGAAGCTAAAACCTTTGGGTCAGAACCTTACAGTGACACCGACGTATGGAAGGAGTTTTACAGCTGCTCGCCCAACGACAAGTCTCTGTTCGATTGTCACAAAACTGCTCCTCCACCTGACTCCAACCGCACTATTGCCAAAGTGACGTGCACAGGTAACGTGAAACTCCCGTCATAACTGAAACTCTGTTTGTGTTGCTTGTTCTCACCAGGTGTGTGTAACTTAACCGTCTAATGGTAACGTCTGTTAGCAAATTATCTCATAATCCGCATCACAGATTTTAATGAAACTTTTTTGGAAATAATCATTTGATGTAAATCTACAATGGATTAACTTTTGGAGCAAACCCAACTTGATGTGGCCACCACACCCAAGTGAACTTGGAAAACACAAAAGCTACCAGTATCTTCTGTTCCATTTCACTGAGATGTTTATAAAACGTGGTGTGGTAGTAGCTTAGAGTAATTCACAACACATACTTTATGCATCGCTCGTTTCACCACAGGGTCCAAAGTGTGGCCCGAGGGCCATTTGCGGCCCTTGGAGTGATTTTGTGCGGTCCACAGCTGCAGTTTCAGAATGGTATCATTTTGATCTTTAGGCCTAAGAGGTCGATGCAGACTTTCTGAAAATTTGTTGGTAATTATTTTTTTATGTAATGTTTAGGTTTAACAGCAAAACAATCTTCTCAAAATGAGCAATATTAAACAAAATACAAACCTTTGGCTGTAGTCTTGATATTTTCATTTCATGATGCAAAGCACCAAAAACCTTTAATGATTTCTACCAGAAAGAAGACTTTTGGATAATGACTCAGAAAACTTGGCTAAATATTAAAATTGATAAAATATTCAAGAGGGAATTGGACATTTTTAAATGAATATAACGTGGCATCATCTACATACGAGTTGATCAACTTTATCAAATCGTCCATGAATCTGTTGTAGCGACTGACAGCTGAACGATTTTTCAGAACTTCGATCAGCCTTTTGGGCCGTCTGTGATCCAAAAGGCTGGTCGGCCCCCCCCCCCCCCCCCCCCAAAAGGACATTTAATCAAATTATGCTTTTATTGCTGCGCACAGACTAAAAAGAAGTTTCCAAACACAAGAAAACAACAAAAATAGACCCAACAAATTAAATAATTTTTAATCAAAAATATAATCGCTGTGTTTATGAGACTATAAATATTTTGGATCTACAACAATTTAAAACTTTCTCCACCAAAATTAGTAAATTTGTCCTTTCTCTAAAATATTGTTCACGTTGAGAGTTAAATTCACAATCCTTTTATTTTGATATTTTTGGCCCACATATGAAAATGTTTACACATAACTGCATTACATAAACTTTTGTAAAAACTTTGTCATTAACCTGTTGTGTCAGCTGTTTGTGTGTTAGCAAAATATTCCCCAAACCCTGGACGGATCGTGTTAAAGTATCAGAAAGTAATAATTGCATCCAAAAATGACGGATGTTTGAATTCAGTCCAATTCGAGAAGGAAGCCACAGCTAGTTAGCATTAGCCACTGCAAAAAATGGCTTTAGTTCAGCCAGTTTTACAGAAAGTAGCTAAAATTTGCCGTGGTAGTAGCTGAGAGTCATTCACAACTCATGCTTCAAGCATGACAGGTCCACATTTTGCATGAAACTGATATTTTCAAGGTTTGACTAAAACAACTACCGTAATGTTCTGACTATAAGGCGCATTAAGCGAAACAAAACAGTCAGATAAGTCAAACTTTATTCAGCTCGTTCACAAAAACTTTCAACATTGTTCAGCTGTACCACATACAATCAGTTTGAGGTGAGTAAGCACAACAGATTTCATACTTAAGCTGCACCAGATTATAAAGCTCACTGTCGACTTTTGAGAAAATTAAAGGATTTTAAATGCGCCTTATAGTCCGAAAAATACACTACAGCTCATTTCTCTGTAAACGATGAGCTCTGTCAGAAAAGTAAAGACAAGTTTTTGTAAATGTTTTATTCTGTCACTGATTTTTCTGGTATCAACTTTTGGACAACACCTTTAAAGCTGAGCTACATCATTTTAACATATAGATTAACTTGGTGATAAAACGTTCTACTTGTTTTATTCAAGATCTGGAAACGCTTTGATTATAAAACGTTTTCTGACGTGTTGCTTTTTGGTCACAACAGAAAAAATCCAAGTGAGCCTGACAAATAAATGCTGGGGAGACGTTCACATCTCTGCAGCAGGGAAAAGTGGGGGTGTGTATGCAGATACCTGGACAGCAGACATGTCCACGAAGCTGTGTGAAGAACAGGAATGTGGGGACACCATCCAAAGCATAAGCAGCCCGTCGAAGGGAAGAGATGTCATCTTTAAGAGTTTGCACGCCAGAAGCCGAACGTCTCCTCTGAACCAGTACAGCTTCGTGAAAATAGACGACAACGCGAAGATCAAATCCAAAAATAAAGCCTATGTTGTCTGCAAAGGTAACTGTTTAATTATTTTTCTCAAAAATAAGTTTTATTTTCCTGAACCTGAAACAAAATTTACATTTCAGTGGATTTTTTTTTCTTTCATAGTTTTATTGAAAATGTTGATTTTCATTTACTGAACAACAAAAAGAAAAAAAAAATGTTAGAGAAAAGTTAAGACACCTGACAGAACTTTGTAATGCTTTTTTAAACAAGGTGAAACTGTTAAAAGTTAAAATTATAAGAGCGCAAAGCAAAAACTAGCAGAACAGTAGCTAAAAGCTCCATTTAGCAAACAGTAAATAGAAGTCAAAATTTGCAAAACTGTAGCTGCGAGCCAAAATTAACAAAACAATAACTAAAAGCTAAAACTAGCCGAACAGTAGCTAAAAGCTCCATTTAACAAAACAGTAAATAGAAGTCAAAATCAGCAAAACTGTATAACTGCAAGCTAAAAGTAACAAAACAATAGCTAAATCTAAAACTAATCAAACAGTAGCTAAAAGCTTCATTAAGCAAAACAGTTACTAGAAGTCAAAATTAGCAAAACTGTATA